TCCAGTTCCACCTAGTCCATGTAGAACAAAAATTCGAAGTTTGCCCAACTCCTGTGTGAAAAACTGGTGCATTTTGTCCAGAATACTTTGTCTTCCATGAAATATCCGAGACGGAGGTGGGCAGCTGATGATGCCTTGAGTGATCTGGGTTGAGTCTGGATCTAAGGTAAATGCAATCACTTGAATTGAACAGTATGAGAAGAGGCCATAAAACACACTGTGTGAATTCCTTGATCTGTCCACAGTCATATGGAGATTGATCACCGCCCTAAGCTACAAATCGGTGAGCGAAATATCTCCCCATAATTGGACACAGGCACCATGAAATTTGACCGGAGCTCTTGAATCTTTGACTGAAATGCTGAAATTTGGTCCGCAGTAGTGTTCAGTTTGAGGACTTCTTGGAAGCGATCTCTGAGTCGGCGTGGCTCTGTATTAAGCTGTTTCACTTCTTCCAAAATATTTTTCAGAACACTCAGAAATCAACATCAGCATAGGAAGGTGGAGAGAAGAAGGGGATGTAATCACCCGTGAAACTCCTCGCAGAGAGTCTTGAATTTTACACCACTGGTGTCCTTGTTTGAGGAAAGCTCTTCATGGACAATTTCCATGACTCCCATGATACTTCCACATAATTCCTTCAAGTTGTCCCGATTTTTCTTTACTTTCTGTTGAGGGCCCAGTTCGGATTGATCTCATATAGATAAGTAGACCTCATACCTCCACAGTCTCTAAAATCGATAGCACTGTTGCAAAGAGGCTTTTAACATAGGGGAAAGGGATAGGTTCGGCTGCCGCAGATAGTGCTCTTGCAGTAGTGAGTGAAGTAGCCAGCCAGTCTATCTTGGCCTGGGAGGAAGATTTGAAGGGCCAAATGGATGTCCCTTGGCTTTGAACAGTGGCGCCATGGGCTGGCTGAGGAGTAGCAGACATGGTGGTGGGTGAAAGACGAACGATGTCAACGGGTGCTATGTCAAGTGGTGATCTTCTCTTCTCATAACGTTGAACCTCGAGGTGTTTACTTAAGCTCCGCTCAGTGCGGGCTTCTTGCCGCCGCAAAAAAAGAGTGCCAGCGCCACCATGTGCGCCGGCATCCAGTAATGGCCTCCGACCTTCAAATAACCTCTGCCCGGGCGCTTGCTTGAGCGCCAATCCGTCCTCTCTCGAGTTCCCATAGATATTTGACCTGTATCTTGAGGAAATATCACACCGCATGCGGCACATGAACAGCGTGAGACCAGAATCTTGCAAAATTGAGAAAATAAAAAATGCTGATGAGCAATGAAATGTGGTCTGTCATAGACAGACAGTATACAAACAGCTTTACCTTGCAGGTCCTTGCTGTATAGGATAAGATATATGGTGGTTTAAGTGCACTTGTATTCGGCCACAAGATACATTGGTGGTTTCCGGCTTCCCACACCGAAGATAATTGATCAGATGCCTCAAGGGGGTACCGGCATTCCAAAAAGTGGACTAGGGTCGATTTTCTTTGTCCAAGCTCCTCGCTTGAACTACCTAACTACGTAAACATTCCCACACGCCACCAACCTGTATTCGAACCGGGTTTTCCCGCTTGCAGCTATGAGGCAATGAGCTTGTCCACGGCTAGCGGGCGCAAACTAGGGATCGGCACCGTACCGTATACTTACAGTCACGGCCGTAAGGATTACGGGTTCTTACGGGTGCTAACCGGCTGTAACCGTAACCGTAACGATGCTTCCGGGGGCTCTTACGGTTACGGTATGGTACATCTACGATATTACGACCGTATATGGCTGTAAAGAATGAAATAAACTTAAACAAAGATAAAGAACACGTATCTACACCTCCTGCATGGTTTGGAGAAGCTCCTAGAGGCCCTTGCGTTTCAATCGAAGCTGATTCTTCAGCAACATCAAAGCCCGAATAGTTTCCGGCCTTACTAAACGTGGCGCGCCACAGAGATGGTATCTCTACCGTTGGAGAAAACATGTTCCACGGCAACTGCAGAGCCTGATAAAATCCATGAGCCTCAATTTGCACATGCAGAAACGAAAAAATCACCTGGAATTGAGTCGTCGACATGATATCATACATGAAACAGTACAGAAGAAATGTACTGTGCAAGTGCTATGCTACAAATGAGAGGTAAAGATTAATCATGGACGTGTATTTGGTAGGCCTCTGTTGGTGTAGCACACTTCAAAGGCCACCGTTATGCGCAGCATCCAAGAGAATGCAGCGGGCTAAACCACCGTGTTTGACAACAGCCCAAAATGGATGCCGAAGTCGAGCCGAGGGGTCATACGCTCACCTCGGCAGCCACTAAAAGCAACCCGATCCGTGAGACAACATTCATGTTATGCCAAATCAGGCGACACAACGGGGAGCCTCATTGCGTGTTTCGGCTCCGGCCAGCCGACGGGTTCAAAATCGAACCATCTTGGGAAGTTTACGGTCGTAAAATAGCGTATACGGACCGTATGCTTACGGTTCTTACGGGTGCTAACCGGCCGTAACCGTAACCGTAACGATGCTTCTGGGGACTCTTACGGTTACGGTACGGTACCTGTATAACTGTAACCGTACCACCGTATACGGTTACGGTGCTGATCCCTAGCGTGAACCATTCGCGACTGGGCCTTGTTCTCGCCCTATGCTTTTGTAAGTTAGCTTGCACTTGTGAAAAAAGAAAAGGAAAGGAAACTCTATAGACGGAATGACAGGTCTGTTGTTTACCGCGGGCTCGGATCGTAGTAAAACCTTATTACCTAATTGATGGCTGCACTTTCCATCATTCGTGTTTCCTCCATATACACCCAATAAATATGGGCTATTCTGTGTCCAGGAACATTTTCTCAGCTACTAAACACACACTTATTTTTCTCCAATTTTTTTAGGCAAGTCTTAACTGATTTTGCGTCTTGGCCGAAGTTCAATCCATCAATCACGCGGCACTCACAAGTCAAAACGGCTTGTTCTAGTGAGTGCATTAGACCTCATATTAGAGAGCTTGCACAAAAGCTGCATGAGCCGCATGCAGCTTTTTGGCGTTGCGCAAAGCCGCATGCGGGAACCAAAGTTGAGGTTCAACAAGAACTGAGTTGGTGGGAGGATTGGTGGGCCCAAGTACATGCACTGGGGATGCAGAAAAGATTGTCTGCCCCTCAATTTCTGCATGCAGGACATGAAAAGTGTGGGAAGTTTCCGTGGAGCTTCCGTGACGACTGGAAAAACTGCATCCCTTGGCCACGCACTCCACTTGTAATCACTACTGTGCATAAAATGCGATTTTTCAGGGACAGAGGAGACTATGTAGCTCACCAGGACCCAAAGAAAACACTTCCAGATTCAGGGGATTTTGCGCAATGCCCAAAAGCCATATGCGGCTTGTGCGGCTTTTGCGCAAGCTCTCTATTTAAAAATTCTGAAGCAGTATAATGTTTGAACCACAGCGGAAGACAGCATCCCCAAAAAATTCCTTTGTGTTGTAAGCTTGTCTGAATCTCACATTCAACATTTTTACTCTCTTCTATTGCCCTTTTCTTACTCTATGGCCCGGGACCATTCCCCTCAAGTTCTCCCTCGCCTTCACTCGACCACTACACAGACTACTGACCATTTAAAGAGCCTACCAGCCAGGACTTTAACCCTGCCACACCAGGAGCTCCCTCGTCTAGCCGCGCTGATCTTTTACGTGAACCGGGTGTGAAACCTCTCGCTACTGGGTCTTTTTGGTTTGTTTGTGCTGTTGGAAATAGGATCGTCGCGCTCCGTGCTGCCCGGTTACCGTATCTACTCCCCTATCCGTCACACAGCTTTCCTTTTATATTCAACCTGTATCTGATTGTTACAGCAGTCCTTTGTATCCCCCGTGCTCGTGTCCCTGCGCCCCGAATACATTTCCCTGTGGCTCACCGTTGCGTGCGACTTCGGCTTTCACATGTGCAGCTATGGACTAGCTCAGAGTTGTGCGAGCCGAAAAAGGGGTGATAAAAATATCCAAGGAGAAAACTGAATGACCCGGCCTGGATTTGTTGGAATGTTGGAGGCTGTGCAAACATCGGAGCTCGGCAACCATGGGAGTCGGGATCAGTAAGCACAGTCGGGATGACTGATGCGCTCCCTGAGGATTACTCAGCTGGTTGAAAGGTATAAAAGCTAGTAGAATACCTGTACTTACCCATCCGTTTGTAACCAACCTTTCACTGTGGCTTCTGTATCCTCAGGAAGCCAATGGGAATGCAACCATAATTTCAACAGGATTCATTCACACCAGGAACTCCTGTTTGTAACAAAAATTTGCGATATTATACGGCTAGCGGGCGAAACCATTCGCTACTAGCTCTGCTTGGGTTGTGAAACTCTGATTTAGGTTGGAATTTTCTTGATTATGGTTGAGTTGACAAAGGAAATCAAATTTCCCTGAACAGCGGGGATGAATGGCAAGACTTGTCATGAAAAAGGCATGAAGGTGGAACTTCGGCATATATGGGGACAGTGGTCAAATTGAGCTCGAGGAAGGAAAAGGAAAAAAGTCGCAGCGCTACAGAGGATAAGACCCACGAACCAAGATTCCTCACTTGTAAATACCTGTTGCAATTCCTTTCGCCTTCGCTGCGGCTTCACTAAAGAAATTCTGCATCGACTCCACTCAAAAAGTGTTTTCGTGCTCCACTCCGACAGACATTGCATCCCCCCATTGACAATCCTGCCTGCCAACCACAACCTCAACTCCAACATCACATCCATCGAGTTTCCCGTGCGCACACCACATACTACAATACCCAAAACACCTCGCCACCCATTACAATTACAAAAGACCCAGTAGCGAATGGTATCGTCCCGCTCCACGTCTCGTGAATTTCCTCTAAAGTGCAAGCGGGAAAACCCTGGTTCGAATCCAGGCTGGGTTATTCATATTAACTTCTACACATATTTTTTTGCTGCCTTCTACTTTCACTTTTGAATTTGCAAAGGTCAAAACAAAGGAAGAGCTCTACAACTTGGAGCAAAGAGACCCGGTGGCGAGAGGTATCGCCCACTTCACGTAAAAACGTCATGTGTCTCATCGAAGAGGGAGCCCCTGGTTCGAATCCAGGCTGGGTCATGTACTCCTTTGTTTCACGCTTTTTCGTTTCCTTCATTTATTTATTTCGATTCGCGGAAGGCTAGGCTATAGTCGGCGACCAGTGACGGCAGCCCTATCTGGAGCACGAGCCCGCGTTTTGCTGCCACCCCACTTCCCGCATGCAAGGGATACACAGGCTTGAAGCACTTCCTCCTCGCCATTTCCCGTGCACTTTCGGTGTGCATGCGTGGACGCGTTCCTTCGTTATTCCTTCACTATGACGGCATTTATCGGACAAAAATACGATGCAAACACAATTCATTTAAATGACATTGAAAAATCCTCGGTGCACATCGGTGCGACTCGATGTAAACTCGATGCAAATCAGTTCTTTTCAGTATAAACCGATTATATTCAAAGCACTTTAATGCATCCAGGTCAATGCATACCAATGCAGAGAGATGGAACACCTACGTGTCACCACACTGCATAAGGTTCAAATGCGGTTCAATTCTACAGTTCTCACATGCTGTGGTGTTATCACCCGGCTTGCCACAGCATGTGCCGACTGCGGAGTTCAACAGTTATCAAGGCGCAATTGGGGGACTCTTAGGGAACATTTCCAGAGAACAATGTTGATTGCAGCTAGGTTTGGTGTAAGATTATTTTTTTGGCCACATGATTCATACTAGGATGAATGAGTTACAAATTACGGGTTGACTGGAGAGCGAAGACCAAACATTTCATGATGCTGTGCCAATTCTCTTGATTGCCACGCCCCGCAGGTTAAACTTGAGAAGAGGAGAGATGGATTGGGACCCGACATTCTCCGTCTGGATTATATCAATATCAGGTTGAACGGAGCAGAGCTACATGTAGTTATGTACAACTGTGTTTGGGCAGCTTACAGTTCCGATGACAGACCTGGTATTGGTGCACCAGGGCATTTATTCAAATCTGCTCGAGTGCAACATACTATAATGTACTTCGTTATATTACGACATCATCTCACAAGGGCTAATGCTGGCCTGAGCAGTTAGCTAAAAGGAATATAATGTGTCTCGAACCATTAGAAAGGCACTGGAAAACAATCCTGGTAAAGGATTGACGTGGGAAGTCGCTAATAGAGCAATCACGGAAAGTGCCTTACCATCCTGGAAACGGATTGGGGCTACTGCACATCCCTGAATAAGGGTGTATTACGAGGGAACATCCTTCTGAACCAGAGGGATCATCATTGGGCATCATCTGACGTCTTCAGAACTACCAAGAGGAGGCTGGACTTGGTCGATCAACCAATTGACTAAGAAACCGTACTCGGGTACTGGGAAGTGACGGCTATCATGATTTTCAGACAAATCACTTGAACGGTTCAAAGCGGGACCAATTAAGCGAAGGGTTACCAAGGAGGGTAATGGGGTGCTGACGAGGAGGTCGGCTAAAAGTTGACATATCAACAATATCCCGTCATGATCATTCTAAGCGATGTAGATCTTGACTCATCGTTAAGCTCGGCTCGCTGATGTTTCTTAAAAATCTCTCCCAATTTTACTAATCGCTTGATAACTGACAGGAGTTCATCGGCTAGCTGCCATACCACTAGTCATATACCCTGAACCCTATTGCTTGTTTGTACCAGTCTCGTTTATATTTAGAGTTCTGTTACGTATTTAAGTGGATGGTTATGGGAGGAACACCAGTGAATCTCACCCCACCTGTTGGACGCAAAGTTACTAGACTTCACGCTTAACTGGTAGAGTAGTCATTCATTCGGATACACCCAGAAGCTATACCAAGTTTCGTTTTTTTTCCCTGTTTGAATAATATCTGTGTTGGATTTGGATCTTTATAAGCGATGCGTGGACATATTGGATAAACGGAACGGACACATGGAATATAAGGAAACAGATCGGACTTGACAATTGGTTGTAATCTCGCAAGGATTAGCAATCACGGATACTATTTGGAATCGGGATTCATAAGAATCACTTGTTTTACGCATCGGAGTACCATCTCCAAACCTAGACCCACATCATACAAAACAGTTGAACATAAAATCTCGTCTGTCTATCTGTGATTGCGCCTAGAACGGATTCGAGCAGGTTTTATCTATACAACTTGTAGACCTGTAAAGTCTTGCTTCTCAAAGAGAACTAAAGTTCAAATTGCCACAATCTATACTGGATTGGAACCCCGAACTTGCACGAGGACTATAGTGTTTGAGTTGTTGTAGTCACATTATCGAACCGTGTATTCATTTACAAGGTTTGATTTGTGGTTATTTCACCGCCAGCCCCATAGTCAGTGTTTCACCGAGAACGGCATCACTCCATGGGAATGATGGTTCAGACACTGTAAGTACTCTTACTGATTTGTTTGATGCTCTGCAGTGCAATGCAGTTCAATGCAGCGCTCTGTAACAGTGGATCTGAGTATCTGCACAACAATGCATGTTATTTCACCAGAGTGCATTAGATTGCACAACAAGGCGGCATCGAGTTTCACTTGATTGCATCTGATGCAATCCAATTTCATTGAATTGCACCGGCGTAAATCGATTGCATTGAATGCAATCCAATGACATCGCATTTTAGTCCGAGAAACACTGTCATACTTCACAGAACCGCAACTAATTGTGTTTCTGTCTATTCACCAGCGCAAAATCAAACTCTCCCTCCCCTTCTTGGCCATGCAGTTTACCCGCACTTACCCAGTCTATAAACACTCTGACAAGATCAACAGATCAACTCCCTCAATGGCATCTTGGGATACACAACCGAACCCGAATAGTGCATGCTCGCCGACTACATCTACGCCGTCTGGGCACTATGCACCGTGTTTGTGTCACCTAGTCAATAGTCAAAACAAGAGTCCCTTGGGGCAGGGCAAACTAAATTCGGAACAAAAATTACACTAAGCCGAGGTCGGGATGACACTCAAAGTTGAATTGGGTAATTAGTGGCAGTGCAAGCCCTTTCTCAATCCACCACGATTGCGACCACCTCAGGGTACACCGCCAAAATTACATAAAGGGCCTTTAAGGGGGGTTATTTTGTTGTACAATAACCCCCCTTAAAAGCCCTCATCCGCCAGGCGGACATGTCGTACTTATGATGTCATATTCCCTTTTGGAAAACATGTGGTGGGCAGACCACCCACCGCCTCGATAGCACTGTACCCATTGTTCTACCCCACATCACTGCTCCCCCTCTTCTATCAGCATCTTGGATAATGTTTGTACTCTTTTTGGGTTCATTTTGACTCAAAATTTCATACATGGAAGACCATACGGACACATCTGCCACCACACCCTGCTTTCAATTGGTCTGCCTACAGTTCCTTTGTCATGTCGGTGGCTTCTCTTTCTGTATTTGCATCCACTATGATCTCTTCATTGTCTCTGGGTTCAATTTGGATCGAAATTCAGTGCCTGAAACACCGGGCAGACTAGTCCGCCAATGAGCACCTACCTGCTGCTCTACATGCACCACTCTTTCCCCTCTTGTACAAGTATGTGTTTGTATCCTCTGATCTCTTAATCCTGTCTGGGTTCAATTTGGCTCGAAATTCAGAGCCTGGAACAATGGGCAGACTAGTCTGCCATGTCGTAAATTAGCATGGTACCCACTGCTCTGCCATTTATCATTTCTCCTCTTGTGTCAGTATGTGTTTACATCCAGTATAATCTCTTCATCCTCTCTAAATTTAATTTGGCTCAAAATTCCAAGTCTGGAATGATGGGTGGACTAGTCTGCCCTGCCATCAATTAGCACAGTACCTGCTGCTCTACCATGCACCGGTGTTTCCCTCTCGAATCAGTATGTGTGTTTTCATCCAGTGATCTCTTCATCCTCTCTGAGTTCGATTTGGCTCAAAATCTGGAGCCTGGAACAATGGGCAGACTAGTCTGCCCATTGGTTGTAGGCTTGATTCTTGGTTGAATTTTAATTAACTGGTAATCGGTCTTGATGGCTTTCTAGTTACTGGCATCTTGCTTCCTTCTAGGGGCAATATGATCAAACTCCAGTTCATGAATCATCACGGCAGTTGTGTCTGCCACATGCTCCCCCATCCTCCCCTCACTTCCTTCTGGGTGTAATATGATCAAATTCAGGTTCATGAACCATAGTGGCGGACATTTCTGCCACATGCTCCCCAGTCCTTCACCTTGAGCCAGCAGAACATGATCTAGATGCAATACTACAAGAATTCATGTCTTACTTGGTATAGTTGCGGCTCTTAGGAAATAAACACCAGTTAGGAGAATTGAGTTCCAAAATTTGGCAATTCATTAGTGCACAAACTGAGGAGATGCCGATTGAATTGGCCGTTGGTGCCTGTGCTGCAGATTTTCATAGTCAAATTTTAGACTTTTACAACTGGGAGGACCCAGAACAGCATGAATATGTATTGTCGGGTGTGCAAGGCACAACAGTACACTACCTTCAAATTGTCTGTGCCAGTGGCAGATGCATCTGCCCACCTTTGATGCAAGCGGTGGATGTGTCTGCACCAGTGGCAGATGCATCCGCCAATCTTTATATAAGTGGTGACAGGAGTTTACCTCACCTGCTCAACCAATGAGGAGCCGTATAAACCTCCATCAAATTTGTTTTTTTTTTATTTTGGTCTCATTTCTAAGGGTTTCAACACATCTATGGGGTGAAATATAATTCTGAACCTCCTCTGGTTTCATTCTGATTTATTTCAGATTTTTGCGCTGGGTACAATATTGTGGGCATGAACCCAGCTGGAAAGTCAACAAGAGTTACAGTTGAATCTGGCGCAAGTGTGCAACAACAGTGTGCATAGATTTCATAGATGATACAAAATTATCAAATAAATCAGACTGAAACCAGAGGGGGTTCAGAATCATATTCTATTCTAGAGACGTGTTGAAACCCATAGAAATGAGTACATCATAAAAAATACAAATTTGATGGAGGTTTATACGGCTCCTGATTGGTTGAGCAGGTGAGATAAACTCCTGTCACCGCTTACATAAAGGTTGGCGGATGCATCCGCCACTTGTGCAGACA